ATCGCTTATTGTGCCTGTGCTAATTCCGTCGCGTCGTAACGCTCTCCATTCCGGAGGTGTGGGTGGTGGTGGTGGTAGTGTTGGTCGCTCGGTACACTCGCTACGCCAATTTTCAATCGTTTCCCTCTCCACTCCATTCCTCCATCCCTCCCCCCTCCCCTCCCCCATCAACGCCCTCTATCGATTTTCCCAGACTCGCCTTCGCCAATCCTCGTCTCGTGTCTTTATTCTCTTACCTACCCTCGTGGTAACCTGCGTGCACCACGTTCAATTCCCGTGCATCGTTTTCCGAACGAACCGATCGAGTCGAAATTTATGGCGAAAAAAAAAAAAAAAAAAAAAAAAGAAAAAAAAGAGAGAAGAAGAAGAAGAAGAAGAAGAAGAAAGGGGAAAAAACGGACGTTTTTCATCGGTCGGGGGAGGAGGGGGGAGGGGGGGGGGAGATAGTCCGACGGAAACGACCGGCGATCGATTCGCCATGTCTATTTCTATTTTTATCGCAACGGCTCGTTGCTACGTGAACGGGAGGTTACCGTTTCTTCGACGGGCGATTCAGCTTACCATAGCTGATTCTTAAACCGATTGTTTAACCTTCTCCCACCTTCCACGCCACCTTTTTCACCTTGTCCAATTTGGTCACGTTGCTTCTCCTTTCGGAAATTTCGAAATTTCCACACTCGGAAGGGTGCGAGTATCTATTTTCCAGGCGACGAAACGCTTAGCGTAGGAGGCGCCAAACTTGGAGCACGCGTAAACCTCGTGCGAGATACGCGGAGAGTAGATATCGGGAGGGGGTAGTAAACATAACCCAGATACGGTGGAACGGTGGCATCTATCCGAAAAGAAGGAATCGGGAGAGGGGTAGAACCAATAACCTAGCTTAATAACGGTGGTATAAAAGTAAACGTTGATCCGTGCAAAGGTCATCCTCCATCTATTTATACGTTACTCCTGCCTTTTCCCTCCTTTTCCAATCTCTTCGCATCTCGCTCTCTTATTTTGTGCATCTACACTTACCTCGTGGTAGCGTGTAGCTGTGTTATTTCATCTCCGTTTTTATCCTTTTCTCTCTCTCTCTCTCATCCTTTTCTCTCGATGGATAAACCTATCTTTTTTTTTTTCTTCTTTTTTGTAACAATCTTCGTCTCTTTCGATCGAATCGAATCTTTCAATCCTCGTGAGAAATGAGAGCGAACGACGTATTTCGACGACAACAACGATAACGCGATCATGGTTGTCGCTACTTTTGTTTTCGGTGAGTCAGTAAAGAGCATCGCTATGACCTGTCAGGATGGCGCCAACGCGTTTTACGATAGTTTGAAAATATATACCGACCGCGTAAACCGCGATAAGATCAAGCTTTCATCTCGTAGATCGCCAACCGTCTTTTCCTTCGTCCCGATGTGTTTCTCTTTTTTGTGGAACGATTCGTGGAACGATTCGAGGCCTAGCAATCGTCAAGTGGTTCCACTTTTTTCTCCTTCCACTCGTTTCTATTTTGCACGCTTCTTGGGTTTCCATTTTCCTTCCGTCCCGTTCTTTCCTTCTTTCCCGATTCTCTTGGGCGCATCTAGCGACACGAAAACACGAACATTGGGCGTACAGCGAATATTAATGCATGTTTTTGCACGTGTAGACGTTTATTTTTCCTCGTATTTTTAGCAGCTGGTATTTTCGAACGGGACCGTTACTATTTTTATCCTAGCACGCCATACGGCGTATTACCGACGAGGAGACCACCTACGAAGTGAATTTTCTCCGTCTCTTTCTTTCTCGCTTACAGTTCGACGCGTGAACAACACTACCTTAAGAGATACCTTGCACGAGAATTCGAAGGGAAATAGGGAGGCAATATTATCGTTCGAGAAGGACGCGAATCCTTCGGAATATTTGTATTCGATTTGGCTTTTTCAAGTGGAAGATGTTTTACGATATATACGCGCCAACGCGTAATTAAATGGAGTTACGTGATCGATTGTGCAAATAAACATCTTTCGGATTGAGAATTGCAATTGGTATTCGAACGTGATGAGATCACGAACGGCGGTTATCGTGACTCGAATTTTTCCAAGATGCATAGGCGAAAAACGCTATGTTAATGTATATAAGGTAAATTGTATGTATTTATTTATGTATGAAAAAAAATCGGACGATTTTTACGGATTTTCGGATTAAAAATGAATCGTCGATATTGGATGATTCGATGCGTAACGAATACCGTTATCGTTCGAGTCTCCCCGAGTGCTATTTCGAAGGGGTGAAAGGGCCGTAGCTAGGTAAGCCGCTAAAAATAACACCGGTACATCATATCGAGCGGCCGTCTATAAATAGTCGGAAGTGACGAGAGACCCTGGATGGATTGGAGTCACGAGCGGCGCTACCCAGCACGCGCCATCTTTTAGAAAAATTCAAAACATTGCCACTCCTAGCTATTACCTTCCTTCTCTCTCTTTCTCCCTCTCTCTCTCTCTCTCTCTCTCTTTCTTCCATTCGACGTCTCCTTCCACTTCTTCCAGAAACTCGATCGATCGTAATTACGGACGACGGATGAATGTTCATTGACGATACATTCTTTACAAGGTGAAACAAATTCTCGATGTAAAACGGATGTAAAACGGAAATGAAAAAATATTTGTAACACGAAACATGTTCTCGATATATATACGTACATATCTTACATCCACGAATGAATCGCTATCGGAATTCGCCGCTCGGCTGATCGATACATTCGAGTTTTAGGGTGGTGCGACGGAGCGAGGAAGAGAACGTAGGAAATGGTTTAAGAAGGGGTGACCTTGTCTCCTATTTTCGGAAGGTAGCTTTCTCGTGATTCCCGATAACTCTCTTTCTCTCTCTTTTTCTCTCTTATAGATTTGTTTTCTAAAAGATACGGGGATCATCGAAGTCGTATTACGAACAATGAAAGAAACTGAAAGATAACGGGGGGGGGGGGGAAGATGCAGTAATAACGAGAAAAGAAACGTGGATATCGATCAAATTTAAACGAAAAAACAATTTAATCGATTGAAAACAATCGTCCATTAAAGAAATCACCTGCAACTGATTTTTAGATATCTCAATGTTTCACTCTATTTATTGTCTTTTCTTTCCTTGTATTGCCTCATTTAAGAAAAAAAAAAAAAAATGTACCGTGTAATCTGGAAATAAAACGCATCGGCCGAATACGATACGTTTGCGATATTATCGCGATTTTTAATCGCGGATGTACGCTATATAAAATTGAAAACTCGGCATTTGTTGTTATCGTTTTTCTTTTTCTTAACGAGTAAATTACTCGCTGTTTAAAATAATTTGTAACGAACAATACCGACTCGTAACGTAAAACTGAAACTTGTTTTTTATCAAACATCGAACGAGAAAATAAAAGGAAAATCAAATTTGCGATAAAGATAAACGCGACGGGCAAAAAAATTCGCGTTTATTCGCTTACACGATTTTCCGAGCGAAAAGAGAACGAAAGATAAAATGGGATAAAAAGAACAAGAGACAAAGAAAAGAATGGCAACGGACCTAGTACTAGACGCTATGCGACGCGACGAAAACAATCGAGCAACGCAGACGAGTCCAAATTTTAACGGTACGTGGTAGTCGGTGGTAAAACGAAGGAACATGGAAAGGACGAAGAAAGACGATCGATGTGGCAGCGGAGAAGGGAGCAACGCGCAAAGGCAGCAGGAAGACGGCAGAAGGGCAACGGTTGCGAATAGGAGGATGCGGTGAAGAAGCGACGGTTGTTGCTAGAGTGGTAGAGAAACTGGTGGGTGGCGGTGAGGAGAGGAACGTAGCGAAGCAGTTTTACAATTACGTAGCCGGCTCGCGCTCAGGCGAAAAGTACAAATGTGCTTCGAACGCAACAATACCGGGTCTCTATAAATAACCGAGATTCGCGAGTCTCACGAGGCAGGGCGCTGTCATCGTGCGCGCGCGACACCCCCCCAGAGAATGCGAGAGAATCGCGAAAGAAACAGTAGCGCGCATCGCGCGCGCAGTTCTCTCTCGTTATCCGTTACGTTTTTGCGCGCGCGTACTCGTTCCAACAAATTCGCAATTTTGTCTTTATATTTTGCGTGTTGTTCAGAACTCTACTGTTGTCGATCATATCGTTTATCGTTGATGTGTCGATTTCTTCGTTCGTTCGACTCGATGGCTTGTCTTCGATAAAACATAAGCCATTATTCTTGCCGTTTATAATGTTTTCTAACTGATCCGCGATTAAATTCATCGGTTACCATTGGAATCGAATGGTGTTTGTTGGTGCACAAGTGATAATAGTGATGCACACTGGTGACTAAATCACGTTCTAAATCTTATCAGTTGGTGTCAGCACTCAGATAGACCTACAAATATACCGACGTGATGTATGTTCTTCGAGAACGACGAACGAATGAACGAACAAACGAACGGAATTCGCTTTAACAAGCGAAATGTATTCTAAGTAACGCGTCGTTGCGCATTTAATCGCACGCGCATTTTTTCTCTTTCTTTCTTATCGCGATTCGACACTTGCCTGTTTGCATCTTTCTCTTCCTTTTTATTTCACCATTGATTCTTCTTTGTTCATCGAAATTTTTTATTCTCTGTTTTTCTATATAATATTCGACGATCGAATTATTCCTCATCGAACATCGTAATATATCGTAAATCACGAAACGACCAATATTCTCTAGCCTTATTTTTATCTCATCGTAATTCAATGTAACAGTCGATATTCGAGTCTTAAAATTCCAGTTATTTTTACCATTTTTATATACCGTTTAATCCATATTCGACAATTTTTCTCAATCGATAATGTCCATGTTTATTCGAATCATCATTTCGATTTCGTGTCGTGATTCAAAAGCCAATTTTGGATCAACCGGACACCTGTTGTACTTGGCGTCGTTTGTGTAACATCGAGATATATACGAACGGTCGACGCGTTAATATTTTTTTTTCGTTCTCTCATTCATTTTTTTAATTTAATTTTAATTTTAATTTACGATGCGCCTCCAATGCGCAAAACAACATCGCTGATAGTATTTTTTCTCAAGTTTTTACATGGATTCTCAATGGTTTCTCAATTTCATAAATAATATTATCGTTTCTTTCATGCAAGCATTCTTTGCATTCTTCTCACCACTCGATGCTTGTTTTCCCGTCAACCGGTAAATGACATAAACGACGAAAAAAGAAGAGAAAACAAAGATATTGACGCGTACGTACGTACTCAATATAATCACGACTATACAGAGAAAGACCAGTCGGACTAGTTTTCGCAAATGGTTTTAAATACCATTTACTAGAGGGTAAGCAATAAGGGGAACGAACTTTGTCATACGGATGGACAAGGAGAATTCACATTCGTGTTTGTGCGATGCCAACACCGGGTCACGCGTTCGCACGCACGCACGTGCGCACGCCACGATTCATCGTTTTACCACGGTAGACTGACATTTGCCGGGATATCGCGGTTGACGACACACGTAAGCGCACGCGCATATTGCCCGTACAAATTCGAGTTTTCGAGTGTTCAATTCGTGACTCTTTTCGATACGAGAAAAATGACAAGTTCGATACGATCGAACGATCGTTTCCGAACCAATGAATTTTTCTCGTCTCGTATACGATATTCTCGAAATCGATTCGCGAATCCATCGCAACAAAGAGCAGAAAGTGAACAAGCTTGACGTCACTGGAATCATTCGCGCCACTTAGATCAAGTCACGAGTTCAATTTAGAATGCGAACGGTCAAGTACCGTGCTTCGATCAGCCGTTTCGTTCCATAACCTGTAAAATGTTGGAATCATTTCATATTGGAAGAATAATGTATTCATACATATACGAAAAAGAAATCAAAAAATATTCGCTGAAATGATTGTGAACTTTGAAAAGTCAATGGTGAAAATAGCGTAGAAAGGGAAAAAGAGAGAGAAAGATCTAGAGTCTAGACCTAAATGCGACCAAGTCGATTCGAGTTATACCGATATCACCTCCATTATGAGGTCATTGGTCTTCCTTCCTCTTGGTTACTCTGAACTCGTGGAAATACATAGCACGTAGTCGTGTACGTATACACGCCTACACGTCAGACTAGTGCGATCTCTTTACTTCACAACGGTTATATTTCGAATTAAATCATTCTTCGGCAAGATTTTTCGTTCTGTTTTTTCAACGCGTTCGTTTTGTCGTTCGTTCGCACAATTTTTTTTCTTATCTTCACATAGATAATCACAAATCCTATCACAAATCGACGTGACAAAATACATGGAACCCGATCGTTGCCGAATCTCTGATACGTTTTCCGCGAAGAAAAACGATGATTGAAAAAAGAACGAAGGAACAAACAGAGAAAGTAAAGTGTGTGCGTATAGGTGTGACGGGGTAAAGAGGAAGAGGACTAGAAGGAGACGCGTGTACAGTCGCGTTTAGTAGGTGCGTATATAAATGTCATCCTATATATAGCGAACGTTCGTCTAATCTTAGCTACTCGGCCACCGGCCAGGAACACGAGTAAAAACTTACTTTGCCTCTGTTTGCTCGTCCTCCTATCTCGCTCGCACCAACTATCCTTCGGTGAACCGACGCGACGCAATCGAGTTTCCGCTCTCGACTTTTCTCCCACGCGTTCTCTCTTAGATCCTTAGATTCTCTCTCGCGATACACTATCTCGCGGATTCGGATTGGATGACGGTTGATCGCGTCGCACGTTGTCGTCATTTTACCATCGAAAAGGTATATATATATATATATATGTATATATATGTGTGTATATATGTATATACATGCGTTACGGGAGATACGATGAATTCGCGTTTCAAGACACGAAGACCACCAGTAGAATACGAACCACTGGTTTCGCTGAACCGACCGTGGTCACCTTTTTCTCTTTCTACATCAACTACTCGGCTGACCTACACACCGACATTCGGTCGCTAATAATAACGGTACGCTGTGGCGAGGCGTCGATATCGCGATTCTCTTTTAATCCGATTCGATTCGACTCGACTCGATTCCATTCATATCTCGTTTTGCCTCGATATGAAAAACGACCGATTCGTATCGATTCATCGGTATGTAATCGGTGCGAATCGTAATCGTGTTTCGGCTAATCTCTCGAATTGAAATCGAAAACGTTCCTTCTCTTTTTTTTTTTTTTTTTTACCTAATGTCTGAGAATCGAATTTCGAGAGAGTTAGCGCGATAAAGAGAATGGAATTCGGCGATTTTTCGAACGCGAGAAAAAAGTATGGCGGATAGAACGAGTTTCGCATAAATAAATATCGATAAATATCGATAAATCGGGGCATGATATTCGATATTTCCGGTTGAACGAACGCCGATCGTAATTGCGATCGCCACCTTTCGGTTAGGGTAACAGGAGCACGAAGGAAAGAGAGGTGAACAAGAGCGGCAAAGCAAACCCGTCGAGGAACGGCCCTCCTCCACGATTAACCTTGGACTTGACTCGAAGGAATTCTCGCAGCGTACAGTGACCTCTGCTCGCCCGCTAACTCGACGCTCGTCGAGTCTCGATCCGTTCGCGCTCGCGCTCATCTTCGGCCCGTTCTTCTCTCGTCCCATCCGTTTCCAACCGATTCCAACCGATTTCGCCCGATCGATCCCATTCAAATCGAGAGAATCGAGGCTGGTCACGTATCGCTCTGCGCCTGCGCCGTATAACCCTTCCTTCTCGTCCGCACGAACCGAGCAAGCAAGCTTTTCCGATCGAGCGATAAAAAAACTTTGGTGTTTATCTCTTTTTATACCAGACTTTTCTCTCTCTCTCTCTCTCTCTCTCTCTATCTCTCTTTCTCTCTCTCTTTCTATCTCTCTGTTTCAGAAGACGTGGGTTACAGAAGTGTCGAGATCGCGTCCGCGTTTACGCATCTACCGCAGAAAGGTAAGGAACGGAAAAGGATCACGACTCGTACGACTCGCTGGAGGCGTTCGAATCGAGATCGAAAACGTCGAAATCAAGCGAGAGCCGCGCGAACAACGAGAGTCGCCTTCGATTTAAAACGTCGAAAAAAACGTCGAAATCGTTTTCTCGATTTCCGCTCGCCCCTCTCTTCCCTTGACTTCCGCCGGTGAAGAAGAATATTTCGGCCGGTGTGTTCCGAACATGCTCGACGACCAGACCATCGGCGGTGGATTAAAACTCGATTAAACGCGAGAAAAAGAGAAGATAAGGTACTTGCCGCGCATGACGCTTCTAAAAATAACCGCGGTATCGAGACTCGGCTGACCGTCCATCCGTCTCTGTTTAACCATTAAACTCGTTGCCCCCAACTCGTTGCTCGTTTTCGCGATACCGCGGAATACACCTCCGTTCTTTCGACGTTCACATTATTATTATTATTATTATAGTCGTTATACCCGCGTCTCACGTCGACCATTTCTCCTTTCGACCATCACGAGGCTATTACCCATCTTTTTACTTAGAGTCGTAAAACGATAATCGCGTATGCGTATCGATTCTTCTTCTACGGATATATATATATATATATATACACACACACACATATATATACACATATATCGATGTGTGTCGATGCACAGAGATGGCCAGGGACACACCAGGCTCCCCGATGTCCAGACCGAGAGACTTGGTCGGTGGAGTTGGCGCTACTACGACCACCTTGACATCGAGCGGTTATCACACTGGTTCCGCGGATCCATCCACCCTTCATGGCCACGTATTGCAGCAAAAGATACTCGAGGTAGTATAAATCGATCGAACAGCGAAACTGTAATCTTTTTCGTTCGATTTTTGCTGTGATTTGTTTTTTTTCTTTTTTTTTTTTTTTTCTTTTTTTTCCCTTTCAGCTACAACAGCATCATCAGCTTCAACAACAAATTCTCCGGCAACAATATCAGGCGCAAGAACGACAATTGGCCGAACTGCACGAGCAACAGATGCATCAGTTGAAGGTAAGTGAAATATATCTCTTAGATATATATATATATATATATATAAAAGATCACGCGATACACGGTAAGCCCCCATTTTCCACGTTAACGTACGTTTCTTTGTTTCCTTCTCTTTTTGTCATAGCTTTGGGAGCAGCAGAAACAACTGGAGGAGCAAAGGAGAGAGAAGGAGAGGCTCGAGGCATTGAGGAAGAAGGATAAACACGATCACAGCGCGATCGCTTCGACGGAGGTGAAGCAACGACTTCAGGTATACGAGTGGGGGTCGAAGACCCCGTAGTTCGTATCGGAATAATCCCATTCGCGTGTGTAGATAACTTTCATCGCCGAAGGGGAGAGTCAGAGGGAATTGGTTCGCGCGTCGGAAAATGTCAAATGATAAAACGATAAAAAATATAAAGGGAGGAAGGAGAAAAATATAGGCGGGAAGAAAAATACGAAATCGAATCTAGTTTTGAAAGTATTCGTCTCGTTGATATTTATCTGTCCGCGTTACGGTGATGAACAAGTAGAAATGGATGAGGGAAGAGAGAACGTGGATCCTCGTTGAGAGAGAAACCTTGCGATTTCAGAGCTTCCTCGTGAACAAGAAGCAAAGGGAGGCCGCAGCGGCTGCTAACGGGGCCGTACCTGGTACACCCGGATACAGGAGCTGGTGAGATTTTATTCGAGATCGGTGATTCTCGCGAACTTTTTCGCCAATTTTTTTCTCGAGTACATCCTCTTCCTTTCTCTCTTCTCTTTTCTTCTGCATCTCTATTTCCATTTCCATCCCATTGTTCGACAATGGAACACGAATTTCTATCCCACGAGAAAAAAGGATACGTGGTAGAAAAAGTAAGTGGATGTACTCGATTAAAAAGAGAGAAGAGCCGATACAACGATTACGAGACGAGTAGTCGAATCGAGGAAGAAATAAAAATTTATCGATCAGGTTGCAGCCGCAATCGGCGGAATCGGCGGGCGCAGCGAACGCTTCGCATCCGTACAGGATGCCGCAGATGTTGCAGGAAAAATTCGCCGATGATTTCCCTCTACGGAAAACAGGTGTGTATATATATGCGCGCGCATATTCGTTCTACTATAAATTCCCGTGATGTCGAGTGATGAGCATATTTGGTGGAAGGTAGTCTCTTTATATGTGTGCCTATGTACGATGGTAGAATGCCTAAACTAAAGCATGGTTTTTTGCGATCCCCGACCATTTTGCCTGTCGACGACACACACGGACAAAACTGCAGACACACAGAAAACTACGTTTCCAATTCGAGATACATACATCAACACGTTCGTCGTTTTTTTTTTTTTTCCGATTGCGAGCTTGTCGATCGTAATCGTTTCGTTTATTATATCGTGAAATTTAATCGGATGGTTTCGACGACACGCTCGTATATCATTACGCCTCGTCCTTTGCCCTTTCCCTACTATTCGATTTTTCCAATTCCCCTCTTTCTTCCATATATATATATATACACACACACATACACACGCCATATATACATACATATATATATATATGGTGTTCCATATCCCAAATCCACCTAACTCACTTAACCCACACACACACTGTTTTTACACTACCCCCGGCCTGATACAACGACGACCAACAACTAACCCTGGCTAAAATTGGCCAGCCTCGGAGCCGAACCTGCTCAAGGTGCGACTAAAGCAACGCGTGGAGAGGAACATGGCCGCGTCGAGAAATTCACCCCTGATGGCACGACGGAAGGATCGGCTGCTGTCGCACCTCAAGCGGAAATCATTGCTAGCAAGTACGTCCTTCGATCGAGCTTTAATCGAAAATATCATTCGTCATATGTCGAAATTAATCGATTTTTCCTGCGTGAGCATTATAGCGGAAAAGAATTCGTTGCACCCGTGTTTTTTCGATTAATCTATCTATATTGATTTTTTTGCCTTTTTTTGCCAGTGTCCAGTAACAGCATGTTCGACAACAAACGATTGTTTACCGATTAACAATATATATATATATATATATATTTTTTTTTCATTTCCTAGAAGCGAGAGAAAATCGCCGAACGCGTCTTTTCGTTTCGTCTCGTTTGCTTTTTTTTTTTTTTTTTTTTTTTTTTCCCTTTTTTCTTTTCTTATCCCAATTACGTTACGACGAAATTATACGAAAAATATACCAAGGATGATCGATCATTCGGTTGCGATAGAATATAATCGAAAGGCGAAACGATGCACGCGATGCGTTTCTTTCGCGCGGCAATGGAATTCGGGACAAGCACACTCCTCTTCGTGAAAAGGAGGGAGGGGGAGAGGTGGATAATTCGTCAACGCTTTCCCAAATTCCAGTCTCGTCTCGCGCGACGAGTCGCAGGCAAATCGTTGGCGCTCAATCCGCCGCTCGCTCTGATCGAACGTTTTTCAGATTCTAGTAGTAATCCAGAGTCCGGGCCTAATTCACCACCGACCGTGAACAATTCTCAAGCGAGCCCCACAGCGGGTGGAAACGCAGCGGCGATCCAAGAAGTAAGTGTTCCACCGAGATGGAGATGTTAAAAGAATCTCTGAATCGATCGTTAATCCATCCTTGTCGATTCCCTTTTCCCTTTACTTTTTCTCTTTCTTTCTTTCTCTCTCTTATCTTTCGTTCGTAGGAGACGGAAAATACCGGTTACGGGGGTCCATTGACCAGCAGCAGTCAACAAGGTAGCTTATCGGATCTTTCGTTGTTCAGTTCACCGTCCATGCCCAATATTTCGCTGGGACGACCTCACGTTCCATCCGGTTCCAACACGGTGAGTCGCTCGATCGATAACTATGATCGACCGATCGATAATTCTGTCTCTAAAGGACGTTGGTTTTCGCCTATGTACACGCAGACCGGTACGAAATTGGCCACGGTCTCGGAGGCAGAGGTACGCGCGGCGTTCACCGCACGACTAGGAATGCCGCTCACGGGTCAAATGTTGCCCGGCACCTTACCTTTTTATCCATCGTTGACGGTAATCGAGGGAGGAGAGGCAACGTCGACCGGTGGCTACGTTCACAAGCAGATGCAGCAAAATTTGGAACATCCATCGGTAACGAATCGGCAACATCCACCGTCCGCGGTCTATCACGGTAGCACGACGGCAAATCCCATTACGGACACGCAAGTAGCGCATGCGAGGCTGCAAAAGGCTGGTCACCGGCCTTTAGGTAGTATGTTCTCTCTTCTTTCCTGCCAGCCGATCATTGTTTCAACGCGCGTGCGTGCCATCATCGTTTCGCACGCGTTTCTTCCTTTCTTTCTTTCCTTCCTTCCTTCCTTCCTTCCTTCCTTCTTTCCGTCTCTCTTTTTCTCCGCGACGAATTGGACGCGATCGCTTCGCGCATGCGCGAAATTGGAATAACGAAATTGGCACGCGCGAACAGCGTTACATTGGCAGCGAGCGATTCCTCGCGAGCGAATCGCGACGCGCCTTTGCGTAACAGATCAATCACGTGACGCTTAGTTCCCACGATCATTTCTCGTTTCTGCGCATTCTCACAGGTAGAACTCAATCCGCGCCGTTGCCGTTGGGCCATCCAATGCTGCAAGGTGGCATGATGGCGCCTCAGACCCATTACGAAGAGTACCTGGCAGAGAAACAATTGCATGACCAGCAACAGGCGCACAATTACCTGAAACAGCAGATACGTCAAACGGTGTTGACGCGAGTCGGGTCTCGGGGGCAGGCGAATCAATTGGACGAGGCTCCCGAAACCGAGGAATCTGCCGAGGTGATAGATCTTACAGGAGGGAAGAAAGACATGTCGGAAGAGAGCGAAATCTCGAAACAGCAACGGGATCGTGAACAATTCCTCCAACAGCAGAGAGATCTGATGATGAGACACACGTTGCAAATCTCGAACGAATCTTCGACGGCCTATGGTGGCAGCGGGGGCGGTAGTGGGAGCGGAAGCAGAAGCAATCAACCTAGCGCAAGACCGTTATCCAGAGCTCTATCCAGCCCATTGGTTCATTTGGGTAAGTGGTTCGATTCTATCTGTCTGTTTCCTGCTCACCGATCTCACCCATTCGTTCCCTCCCCCTCTCGCAATTCTTCGAACAACGACAATAACACTGCTCCTCTTTTTCTTTCTTTCTCTCTCTCTCTCTCTCTCTCTCTCTCTCTCTCTCTCTCTCTCTTTCTCTCTTTCTTTCTCTCTTTGCCTGGTGCGGGACGCAGGTCCTCAGGGAGGAAACCAATCCACCGGCGATCTATTCGCTCGTGCTTCGTCTCATCGACCTACCACCGGTTTGGCCTACGACCCGTTAATGTTGAAGCATGCTTGCGTTTGCGGCGAAACGGTTCGAGGTCATCCCGAGCATGGAGGAAGGTTGCAAAGCGTGTGGGCACGTCTCTCGGAAACCGGATTGTTGCAACGTTGCGATCGAATACGTTCACGGAAAGCTACCCTCGAAGAGATTCAAACGTGTCACAGCGAGGCTCATGCTTTACTCTTTGGTGAGTTTTATTGTAAATTAAGCGTTTTCATATATATATATATCTTCCCTTTTTCTCCTTTTCTCTCTTTACCTTCTTCCCATCTATCTACTATCTCTCTCCCATCGAAAGGAATATTATTATTCGATACCGTCGAATAAGATAAAAGAATCTTCCACGATCCTCGATCTCCTATCCCTCTTCTTCCCCATCCCTCATCCCCGATTATTTCGCGCGACACCACCGCGGCCAAAGTGTAAAATGTGCTTCGCGCAGGAACGAATCCGATGAATCGGCAAAAGTTGGACGTATCGAAGCTCTCTCAACTGCCCATCAAGAGTTTCGTAAGGCTGCCGTGCGGTGGAGTAGGCGTCGATTCCGACACCACGTGGAATGAACTGAATACCGCGCCAGCTGCTAGAATGGCCGTCGGCTGCGTCGTCGATCTGGCTTTTAAAACCGCAATGGGCGACATTAAGAACGGTTTCGCCGTGGTACGACCGCCGGGACATCACGCTGAAACCAACCAAGCCATGGGCTTCTGCTTCTTCAACTCGATCGCGATCGCTGCACGATTGCTTCAACAGAAGCTCGATATTCGGAAAATCTTGATCTTGGATTGGGTAAGAGCCCACTTTTCCCATCCCCCACCCGTATATATTACGTATCTATATACAGTAGCATATACTGTACTTATACCACGTTACTTACATTCGTCTTCGCGTTCGTGGTGGTTGTTGTTGCGATCGTCTGTGCTCTCTCACGCCCCTTAATGCGTGTACGTGCGTACGTGCGCTGTGTGTGTGTGTGTGTGTATGTGTGTGTGTGTATGTGTGTATGTGTGTGTCCCGAGATCGGAGAAAGGATTAATGTCGAGTTCGTTTTCTGTTCAGGACGTTCATCATGGGAACGGAACGCAACAAATGTTCTACGACGATCCACGAGTGCTCTACCTGTCGATACACAGGCACGACGAAGGTAACTTCTTTCCAGGGACTGGTGGGCCGACCGAGTGCGGAGCTGGCGAAGGATTGGGTTACAACGTGAACGTAGCGTGGTCCGGTGGGCTGAATCCTCCTATGGGTGACGCGGAATACTTGGCCGCGTTCCGTAGCATCGTGATGCCAATCGCGAAAGCGTTCGACCCGAGCATCGTGCTCGTCTCGGCAGGATTCGATGCAGCCATCGGGCATCCAGCTCCTCTGGGAGGTTACAAAGTGAGTCCTGCGTGTTTCGGAAAGATGACCCAACAACTGCTTGGATTGGCGAACGGTAAGGTTGTTCTTGCCCTGGAGGGGGGTTACGATTTGGCCGCGATCTGCGATTCCGCCCAGGAATGCGTTCGAGCCCTCCTCGGGGACGAACCGACCCAACTTCGAGAGGAGGAATTGACCAGGGCGCCTTGTCAAAACGCGGTCGACACGCTGCAAAAGACTATCGCCGTGCAGGTATTTTCTATCTTCCTGTTTTTTTCTGTTTCAAAACGCAAGCAAGTATTGAATCTGTTTTTTTTTTTTTTTCTTTCTTTTTCGATTATTCGTTCGCACGCAGATGTCTCATTGGCCTTGCGTCAAGTTGAACGCGCACACGGCTTCGATGAGCGCGATCGAAGCCGGACAAAAGGAACGCGACGAGACCGAGACAGTATCCGCGATGGCCTCTTTATCGATGCAGCAGCCTACCAATTTAACGTACGTTAATATCATGATATTAAGTTCGATTCGATTCTTTTTCCATTTCCTGTCTATTCGAGATTTCGAAAGATTCACTCGCAGCGATTTGCGATTTTTCAGAACTACCCCAGAACATTCCCGAGAAGTTTCCGAGGAGCCGATGGAACAGGACGACGCCAAATGAAGAAAGACGCGAAACTGGTCGTCGATCGTGTATCGATGTAATCACGAGGCTATCGTTACGTTCGTACCGCTTCTTCGTAGAACGCGAGTGACGACGACTGTGATCGATCCGAAACCGCTCAGCAATCATCAGTTTCCAGACACAGCGTCGTTGGAACGAACGAGCCTTTATGCACCTTTTCCGCGCTTCGCTTTCGCACCTTGTTCATCCTATGTATAGATCCGATCGAGCGCAAATCATGGTGGAAATCGCGAAATTAATCTCGACTAAAAATCTAAAAAGACAGTAGATTTAAGTGTTTTCTACGCTTTTGCTAATTTCTCTAGGAACGCGTGATTCGTACGCGTTCGTTCGGCCTCGCCTTTTCCATCCAGACTCGACGCCTATTCTCTTCTTTTAATAATTATTACGTGTTACGAACCAGCCTTTCTGGAAAATTTTCGATAAAAATTCGATAAAAAATTCGGAACGGAATGGTGAAGAATCGCAACGATAAAGCAAACGAAATGGTGTGATCATGACCGAGGGTGGGAGGGAGTCGGGGATGAAAACGGCGGCGGAAGTAGGGATAAGGTGCGCGATGGAAAAAATAGTAAAATGAAGCGTTTTCGATGTTCTCCATCCCACGACGACGTTTCATTCTTCGTCATTTCTCTTCGAGCGGCATAGCACGATGTTCGATTGTCTTTTTGTCGCGAACAAAGGCTGGTGTGATTTTTGTGATATTTTGTAAAAAGCAGAAATTTTACAAACTGTAGTTAGTTAATGATGTGCAAATGTGTATGTACGAGTATGTAACTTAGTTCGATCTAAAGCGTGACAACGTGCGCTCGCGCCTCGTGTGCCTGTGTAGATATAATATGTACGTACGACGTGTGCGTGTGTGTGTGTGTGTGTGCGCGCGCGCGCGAAAAAATTAAGAAAGAGAATATATGTAATCGAGAAATAGGAGCATTTATTTTTATGCCGTGCATTTTACGAGGATACGAAAAAAATGCGAGCAAATCTATCGATCGACAATTTCCGCGAATATGTGTATGATATGTAACATGGCGTTACATAACGTACATCGTAATATGGCAAAGATTGTAACACGCGGATCAAAGATTCAAGCACTTTTGTCTAGCATGCGCGAGAGGAACGCGAAAGAATGTGTGTGCGCGTCGAGTACAAGAAATTCATGTATATTGAATGTTATGTGTCAGCAAGAATCTCAAGTGTTCGTTGTGTACGTCCCATATTTTTACTAAAAAATTTCAAAGATATTGTGCGCAGAACGTTCATTTCGGTCGATTCGTGTCGTAAATTTGCTTTCATTCAATATGTTATCCCTTTTTCCTGTTTATTCTAATTATATAGAGATACATAGCCCAATTCGTATCTTTTCCGTTCCCTTGTTCGTTTCATGAATCGCATTTTCTTATTTTAATCGCCTCTTTCTACTTCGTACTTGATGCGTGATCCATGTTTTCATCGCCGCCAATCTCATCGTTTACGCGCTTTATTGTCAATTTTCCGATTCGACTCGATCGACTCGACTCGACTCGACTCGACCGAATTCGATTCGTTACTGATTTCGAGATCGCGCGTGACGATCGTTCGGAAGTTGTTGATGTTTTATGAGAATTTTATTTGTTTCGAGCAGAAACTTGCAACATTCCGGTATCGTTCATAAAAAATCGATACAAGTTAGATGTAACTCGTTGATAATTTGCATCGAAAATCGATTCTAATAAGTAAACAAAATAAAAAAAATTAAAATCGAAGAATATAAGAATGAAAATGAAAAAAAGTGTTACAAATACATTATTGCACGTGTCCGAATATGTCCATATTGCGTAAGCTTAAATGTATTAGTCATACATTTTTTATGTATATATAAATGTACCTCGTAAAGTAATTTTAAATAAAAACTATAGTCATTGTGTTACGCATACATACCGACAATACATGCGTGTCATTTATTTTCGTAATAGCGAAACAGTTTATCCTTCTTCATGATTATCTATGTTGATAGAAAAAGCTATGATTAGATAATCTACACTTTGTGTTTCTGATTTGAAAATTTTAAGAAAATCATAAAAATAGTTTGGAAAATGAGTAATTTCACAGATAAATACATACAGGTAATTAAAATTACACAAAGATCTTTGTATTTGAAAAAATTCTTACTTTTAAATTATATTCTCTTAATTTAATTTCCCGACGCATAATTTTCTGACACTCAAACATAAAAAAGATAAGATACGTTGAAAATGAATCAAAGATTTAAACATATTGTAATTTTAAAAGAAAAAAAAAAAAAAAAANGAAAAAAAAAAAAAAAAAAAACAAAAATATATTAAATTTTCAGATCTCGTCTGTGATCATGCGCTAAAAACAAGGAGAGAAATTGACAAAATAGAAATGGAGTAAAAATATTGAAATCAACGCCATCTTCAGAGTGCCTCAAATGAAACGTTCTATACTTTCAAAGAAAGCATAGAAAATATGGAGAAAAGGACAAAAATAGAATTTATCTAATACCAAAAATATGTATTAACGCGCAAGATTCTAATACGGGGGTAAATTTATATCACGTTATCCGCCATAAGATTTACATAATATTTTCGTAACGTGAGTGCTTACATCTTCACAGGATAGAATATTTTTGGTGACAATATCTTTGTGTCATTCGTTACAGATTGTATCATTTATGTATGAATAAATAATTTTTGATGTTCGATAGATGGTGTTGATGGTTAATTCTTTTTCTATTTCTATCTTTCTCTCACTATTTTTTTTTACCATTTCATTTGCGACACTCTGAAGATGGCGTTGATTTCAATATTGTTACTCTATCTCTGTCTTTCTTGTATCATCTCCTCTCCTTATGTTTATAATTGGTTTACAAAATTTATGTAACGAAGAACATAAATTTATACATATTTCCCGTTATCTTTTAATTAATTAAAAATCTTAATAATATCCATTCTATATCCAATTTTCAAGTATAATAGAACATTTGTTTTATTTTTTACTTATAATTTTATTTATTGAAATTTAATTTCAATTCAAATGTTCCAAATTTCAATTAATGTTGCAATCTTATTTTGAGTCGAAATGAATAACATTGTGAATGATATTAAAATGATAAATGATTTTAGTGCCTTCGAGGTATGGAAAAAAAATACATTTAATGTTAGATTTATTTCATATTTTTGTTTGTAGTAATATCTCGTACACGTATATTTTTATATAAATGGTACATGTACGTGATAATAGGAGAATCTTTAATGAAGACAATATCATCTGCATATTTAATGGCACGTAACTCATAACTTTTTATACATGTAAGTATATACATAAGTAAATACTTACTCATACAATCTCGCAATCCATCCAACAGTATTGCTTGTTATATTAAAAACGTTGAGAACGAAGAATGGAATTAATACGTTAGTTGATATCTTCTAAATTTATTTTCTTTTTTCTCTTTTCATCTTTTCTTTTGTTTTTTGTGTTTTTGTTCTTCGGTATACAGATTTATGCGATTATGACTAACCCTGAAAAAATTCTAACCTCATTCAGTCCTCTATTAAGAATCGATTCGCAAAATTTATCATCTTTGAAACAATTTTGAATCAATTCATAGTCATCTATATGCAATGATGTAGTTTCACATACAATTATGATAACTCTACAGTTATCATTTTGATTACATGTGCATGTACATTTATACATACGTACATACAGACGTGAATCAGGTATACGTATACAGGCATATGCACGTATGGTATGTATACATATATGCACGACCGATTAATCTTTACATTTATATTATATATTGTTTATACGTTTCTATGATATATATATATATATATATATATCACACGCTCAAACATATATATGCGTATATATATATATATATATATATCTATATATCTGTGGTGTATGTGTGTTGTGTGGATGTGTGTGTGTGTGTGTGTGTGTGTATCATCAATATGTTACACTATCGATTATGTTTACATCATACAGCTTACAAATCTATGGAATATTCCTTTTTTTTTTATATATATATACAAGGATTTTTTTAGGAAAGGAGAAAAAAAATTATTTAAAAACTTACCAAAATCACGCATTCATATGCGTGTACGCGCATGTGTCCTATCTGTCACGAAAGTATTACGCAATCTTTCGTAATATAAACATTCATTCACTAATTCCATGTACTTCTGGAGTCAGAGATCGAGCAAAATCACCGTCGAGAACAGATGAGAAAATTTAGGAAGAGATGCATTTTCGCAATCAAGTTAATAAAATATCAAAGATTTTAAGCTCTTCCTTTTTTATTCTTTTTTAGAATCTTTCGTTCTCGTTCGACGATCTTGAACGGTTAAAGACTCGCGTCAATACAGCCTATTATTGTTTCGAAATAAATTACGTTGATTCGTTTGCTTCCTTTTCATTGATTGTTTTCATCGATCGTACACTTGTTAAAAATTGAATATGAGGAGCAAACTGGAATTCGAACAAAATTATTGAATCGACCATAAAGATTAGTTTTAGCAAACGTTGGCCACAATTCGTCCGGTTCGTACCATTCTGTTTTTTTTTTTTTTTTTTATTTCGTATTATTTGCACGAACTTTTTATTCCTTTGTAAAATTATACAAAAATAAGTTGTGTTACAGATTTTTGATGGCTACCGTGGTATTTCCTTTTTCTTCTTTCATCTTCCATTATCATCTTTAACGCCATCAGCAATCTTTCTTTCTTATACAGGAGTCGACGGAATTTTCGATTCGTTTATCATTAATTCCCATCGATTATATAGACAAATTACTATACGTTTAATTGGCAATCGATATTTTTTTTTTATTTCTTTTTACTAATCGAGGAAACTTCTTTCCAAATTCGTATTTATTCTCATTGATTCTGATACGACGGGGTATCCATAAATTTTATATAGACGTATTCTAAAGTTTTTGAATATATCTCTACGAATTTACTGTTATCTATCGTTAAACGATTCCTAACTAGATTTGAATGAAGGAATACAACTCGGTCCGCGCTTCATTATTAAATCTCTTATTAATTCGATAGCGTATGCGCATTGAACGATCCGCAAACGACAATGGGCAAACGCGCGCACGACAACACATCGAAATGAATTCCTTCGAACTACAGCCCGATTTTATCGGCTACTTTGGCGATTCTAATACTCTTTCGCGATTACGCAGCTATGTTGCTCGTCCATGAAAAGTAATCGGTGAAAATGTGAAACGGCAATATATATCCGAGTCGACGAGCATCGTATGCCGCGTGGAGGCAGTCTTTCAAATGAAACCTATAGATCGATGTAGCGACTCGCGCTCTCAGTCGTTCATTTTTTTTTTTTTTTTTTTTTTTTTTTTTTTTTTTTTTTTTTTTTTTTTTTTTGATTTAAAGCGAAAAAACTTCGTGTGGTCGACATATGTACAAAAGATAGCGAATCAAATCACGTTTCAAATATATAAGGTAAATGTATACTCGTGTTCCACGATTGTAAGAAATTGTAGGAAAGATTTTAAACGATTGCTATTTTTCAACTAGCACGACCTATCCTTATTTAACGGTCGAAAAGTTTTGTTGCGGATTTTGATTCGAAGATACCCACGTGGTAAAGACATCCCTGCAATGACTAACCACGCATTCGTTGCTGCAATACTCGTCTTCCCATTCGCTATTCGCAACAGCGGTATTCGGGCATCCATGGCGTATACAAGCGTTCGACGTTGGTCTTTGACCAACCATGCTCGCAGCTTGAGTCACAGAGTTCACTGCTGGTGGAGAACTCGATAATGTATCACTCTTTGCCGGATTCGTATGCATCAATTGTTGTTGCGATTGTTGCTGTTGTTGTTGGTGGTGTTGTACTTGTTGCGACTGTTGTTGCACTTGTTGCACTTGTTGCTGTGGTATCTATGAAAACATGCAAATTCTCGTAATTATTTTACTTCTTAATTTAATACCAATAATAGATTTGATATCGAAAAGGAATAATTGTAATTCATGAAGCGAAATATCACTATCATTTCATTTTATAATTATTTTCACACGACACAGATATTCTAGAAGAACAGGAAAACTGAAAAGAGCAGTAAGAATGACAAATTAATATGACTAACCTGCATGTATTGTTGTTGCATGTGTTGTTGTTGTTGTTGTTGTTGTTGCTGTTGCGAAATATGCGTTGGTGCCATCGATGTTGCCATCAAAGTCTTGAAAAAAATGGATAAAATAAATAAAAATAGAAAAAAAAGGGGGAAATGAATTACAGCTACATTCCTTACAACGTGTAATGCTAAAATGACACACATCTCGATAGATCTTTAAAGAACAAAAATATTTTTTTACAAATACACGTATAGTTAAAAAGAGAGACGAAAAAAAAAAAAGAAAAATGAAGAATCATTACCTGTTGCGTTTGTTGTTGCTGTGGATTTCCTGGCATCGTTAAATGGTGAGGAGATTTTTTTATTTGCATTTGTTGCGTCGATTGCTGATGATGTTGAAGTTGTTGATGCGGATGAGAATGCGGATGTTGTTGTTGAGGCGAAGAGGGTTGCGGTTGTGGGCTGTAAACTTGATACGAGACACTTCCGGGTGTTCCATTCCCGGTATAATTACCATATGCTGCGTATTGAACTTGTTGTTGCGGCGTTGGCTGTTGTTGCGGTTGTTGTTGATGTTGTTGATTGTCGTTTTCGGCTGCTCCCTTGCTAACTAAAGACGCCCTATACGCCGCAAGAGCCTGCAGATATTCTTTTTTGGCGGCTTCCGTTTTCTTTTTGTACACCTACAAAGATTTACACAATTTTCGTTATATACAATATACAATTACGATCGATTTTTTTTTTGAAAAAAAAAGAGGAAGAAAACAGCGATGATATCCTGCAACAATATGCACTCACGTTCTTGTGTTCCGTATCCAACGCATCCCACATCGAAGCTACGATCTTTGAAACTTCGCCAAAGCTCGCATTCGGATTTTGCCCTTTTATCGCGGCTTGGGTATCTCTAAAAAATAGAGCGTACGCCGAAACAGGTCTGCAATATAAATAATAACGTGTTACGAAGAAATAACGAGTAGAAAAGATTTTGTGTGTGTGTGTGTGTGTGAAGGAGAGAGAGAGAGAGAGAGAGAGAGAGAGAGAGAGAGAGAGAGAGAGAGAGAGAGA